TCCTATTAGTTCCATCCTACTAAAGAACCCTTATATATACATTTTATCAAGTTAGTAAAGTATATGTGATTTCTACTGTCTAAAGTGTGGGATTATGTGTGAAAAGTGAGAGATGGCAATTGGAACAGAGCCTGGAGTTTCACATGTAAACATGAATTTTTGTTACCTGTAATGTCAAGGACAAATTCCTCAGCTTCCCACAACTAGTCTCAACCCACTAATTGAGCTTAATATCTAACATGGATCTTCCAGTTTCCATAGACCAGTTTCTTCCTGATTCCCCACATATCCTGTAGATTTCAGAAGTTTATTTAAATATGGTATTTTCAGTATTAATTCTGTAACATATGACTTCTTTCGCTCACCATTATGTTTGTGAAATACATGCATAATCATGTTTATAGCTATAGTTTGCCTTCATTGCTATATAATATGCCATTGTATGAATGCATGAACATTAATTCATTCTACTATTGAAAAATCTGGACTATTTCTAGTTTGGGGCCATTGTACTCATGTGTTTTCTTCCATATGTCTTCGGCACATACATGTACACATTTGGCTGGGTATTGCAGCATCTGTTATATTCATATCCTCTTGGAGTCTGTTTCATTCATGTCTTCTTTGAGTTTGTAATTTCCTTGTACTGTAGCCCAACTTCCAACTGCCCACATTTGTGACTCCAGGCTTGAAGAATCTTTTACCACTGAAGTCCTCTGTGCTTATATACTAAGCAGGACAGAAGTGCCAGGAAATTATCAACTCTGAAATAAGTAACGATAGGATTGCCCCTTAGATGAATGTAATGTGCTTCCAATGTTCCCTAGTGGAAAGCTCTTATTGCTCCCATAGGTACTTTTCCTGATAAGGCGCCCTTCACTGGCTTCCCTCCTACCCATGTCTTGCTGCCCCACCCCTGCTCTGGTATTTACTGGGATCATCTCTCAGATAAACTACTTTCATTTAAACCCTTGTCTCAGGACCCGCTTCTGGGCAAACCCAAAGCAAAACAAAAATTTTCACCTGTATTCACTACTCTTCAAATGTTTATCCTACAGATTATGACATAAATCTTTAACTTACTAAAGTTCAGTATAAATTAATAGATGTACAACATCTCAGACAACTCAAAGACATTTTGGTTCCATCTGTGCTTTCCTCCTTTTGGGCTTTTATTGACACATTTTAAATATAATTTAATCCCAACAAAATATTGTTTTATTTATTTCACACAGGATATATTCACTTAGATTTGCCCACATATTTACTCTTTCCATTGTTCTTTAATTCTTCTTGTATTTCCATGTTCCTATCTGGATCATGTTCTTTTTATTTGAAAAAGATTTGTCATTCTTCATCTCAGTGTAGATCTAATGGTAGAAAATTCACTGTTTGGGTGTGTCTGAAATTATCTTTTCTTTAGCTGCTTTTTGAGAATATTTGCACTGGGTATAAAATAAGTTGGTAGTGATATTTTCCCCAGCATGTCAATTAGAGTCCTCTGGCTTCCATTGTTTCTATATGATATCCTCACTTCTTTTGAAGCTCATTTTTTTTTTCTATCACTTTTCAGATCTTGTGTTTAGCTTTCAACAGTTTTACTGTTGTAAACACACTTCGGCTTGAGAGTCTTGTATTTAACCTACTTTGAGTTTGAAGCAGTTCTTAGATCTTATAGCTTGATGTCTTGTCAGTATTGGAAAAATCTTAGCAATGGCTCATCAAATATTGCCTTTTACTCATTCTCTCTCTCCTGGCCTTATGAACTTCAATGACATAAATATTACACCTTTTACAAAATATCCCATACATCTTTTATGCTCTTTTCTACATTTTATTTCCATGTTTCTGTCTACTTTTTTTTCTAGCTGTTTCCCAGGTTCCAGAGTACAGTGGTGCAATCACAGGCTCAAACAATCTTCCCACCTCAGCCTCCTAAGTAGCTGGAATTATAGGTGTGAACCACCACACCCGACCCAGTCTATTGCTTTTAAACATTTAAATTGTGCCTAATTTGCTGATAAACCCATCTACTAATTTCTTAAAACTATGTACTATTTTTCAATTTTGAAATTTCCATATGACATTATTTCATCATTTTCACACTGTGCTAAAATTCTCTATTTTGTTAATTTCTTGAGCAGAGTAGTCACAGTAACTTGTGTTTAATAACTAGAATATGAGGTTTTTTTATGTGTGAATTTCTATAGACTTTTGTCCTCTTGTTTAGTTTCTGTATATTTTGTTTGCCTAGGTTTGTTTTTGTTCTGTTTATATAAATTAAATACAAACCATCACTTTAAGGCTCTGAATGATTTTATATTTCTCCAAAGTGGATTCCCTTTTGCTTGTGGCAATTAAAGTAGGAACAGGTCTTTCTCTAACCTGGAATTGAGATGATTTAAATGGAGTTTTAGTCTCTGTGAGAGTTGGCCTATCTCTAGTTTGTTATTACTCCTTGAATGTAGCTTTTAAGGGTGTTAAAGCCTCAAGAACTTATGGCGGCCTTCCTCCCTTCGCAGATGCTGGACTTCATTGTTCCCTCAGCCCCATGATCACCAAAACCTTCTCAGCTGCTACGTTAGAATTGGCTAATATCTATTTTTTTTTTTAATGAATGCTCTTAACATCTTTATTCATGACAGCCACAATGTAGAAACAATTTAACATTTATCAATAAGAGAATGTGGTATATTCATACAATGAAATATGAGTTCACAATAAACATGAAAGAATTACTAATACATGCAACAACTTCTAGAAATCTCATAAATACTATGCATACCAAAGAAACCTGACACAAAAGAGTAAATCCTGAATGGTTCCATTTATATAAATCTCTAGAACAGTAAAACTAAACTATGGTGATAGAAACTATATCAGTAGTTGCTTGGAAGGCAGGGTTTTCACTGGGAATGGCATGAGAAAACTTTTTTGGAGATGCATCTTTTTTTCTGTTCTTATTTTTTTTATTTTTAATTTTTTACTTTTATTTTTAATTTTTTAATTTTGCGAGGTTTTGGGGGAACTGGTGGTGTTTGGTTACATGAGCAAGTTCTTTAGTGATGATTTCTGAGATTTCAGGCACCCATCACGCAAGCAGTATACCTGTAACCAATGTGTAGTCTTTTATTCGTTGCCACCCTGACTCTTTCCCCCAAGTCCCCAGAGTCTAATGTTTCATTCTTATATCTTTGCATCCTCATAGCTTAGCTCCCACATATGAGTGAGAATGAATAATGTTTGGCTTTCCATTCCCAAGTTACTTCACTTAGAATAATAGTCTCCAATCCCATCCAGGTTGCTGCTAATGCCATTAATTCATTCCTTCTTATGGCTGAGTAGTATTCCATTGTATTTATATATCACATTTTCTTTATCCACTCATTGATTGATGGGCATTTGGGCTGGTTCTATATTTTTGCAATTGCAAATTGTGTTGCTGTAAACATGTGTGTGCAAGTATCATTTTTGCATAATGACTTCTTTCCCTCTTTGTAGATGCCCAATAGTGGGATTGCTGGATCAAATGGTCGATCTACTTTTAGTTCTTTAAGGAATTGCCACACTGTTTTCCATAGTGGTTGTACTAGTTTACATTCCCATCAACGGTATAAAAGTGTTCTGTTTTTACCACATCCATAGCAACATCCATTATTTTTTTATTGTTTGATTATGTCCATTCTTGCAAGAGTGAGGTGGTATTGCATTGTAGTTTTGATTTGCATTTCCCTGATAATTAGTGATGTTGAGCATTTTTCCAGATGCTTGTCTGCCATTCGTATATCTTCTTTTGAGAATTGTCTACTCATGTCCTTAACCCACTTTCTGATAAAATTGTTTAATTTTTCTTTGTTGATTACTTTGAGTTCCCTGTAGATTCTGGATATTAGTCCTTTGTCAGATGTATAGATTGTGAAGATTTTCTCCCACTCTGAAGGTTGTCTGTTAATTCTGCTGATTATTTCTTTTGCTGTGCAGAAGCTTTTTAGTTAAGTCCCATCTATTTATCTTTTTTTGTTGTTGTTGCATTTGCTTTTGGGTTCCTGGTCATAAAGTCTTTAGCTTTTCCGATGTTATCTTCTAGAATCCTTATGGTTTCAGGTCTTAAAGTCTTTGTTCCAGCTTGAGTTGATTTTTGTATAAGATCAGAGATGAGGATCCAGTTTCATTCTTCTACATGTGAGTTGCCAATTATGCCTGCACCATTTGTTGAATAGGGCGTCCTTTCTCTACTTTATGTTTTTGTTTGCCTGTTGAAGATAAGTTGACCATAAGTATTTGGCTTTATTTCTGGGTTCTCTATTCTGTCCATTGACTTATGTACCTATTTTTATATCATTACCATGCTGTTTTGGTGACTATGGCCTTATAGTATGGTTTAAAGTCTGGTAATGTGATGCCTCCAGATTTGTTCTTTTTGCTTAGTCTTGCTTTGGCTATGCGGGCTCTTTTTAGGTTTCATATTAATTTTAGGATTTTTTTTCTAGTTCTGTGAAGAATGATAGTGGTATTTTGATGAGAATTACATTGAATTTGTAGATTCCTTCCAACAATATGGTCATTTTCACAATATTGATTCTACCCATCCATGAGCTTGGGATGTTTCCATCTCTTTGTGTCATCTATGATTTCTTTCAGCAGTGTTTTGTATTTTTCTTGTAGAGGTCTTTCACATCCTTGGTTAGGTATATTTCTAAGTACTTTATTTTATTTATTTTTGCAGCTCTTGTGAAAAGGGTTGAGTCCTTGATTTGATTCTCAGCTTGGTTGCTGTTGGTGTATAGCACAGCTACTGATTTGCGTATATTAACTTTGTATACTGAAACTTTGCTGAATTCATTTACCAGTTCTAGGAGCTTTTGGGGTGAGTTTTTAGGGTTCTCTAGGCATACAATCATATCATCAGTAAGCAATGACAGTTTGACTTTCTCTTTACTGATTTAGATGCCCTTTATTTCTTTCTCTTGTCTGATTGCTCTGGCTAGGACTCCCAGCAATATGTTGAACAGAAGGTTTAAAAGTGGGCATCCTTGTCTCGTTCCTATTCTCAGTGGGAATGCTTTCAACTTTTCCCCATTCAGTATCATGTTGGCTATGGATTTGTTGTAGATGCCTTTTATTGTTGTAAAAGGTATGTGCCTTTTATACTGATTATGTTGAAGTTTTAATCATAAAGAGATGCTGCATTTTGTCAAATGCTTTTTCTGCATCTATTGAGATGATCATTGATTTTTGTTTTTAATTCTGTTTATGTGGTGTATCACATTTATTGACTTGTGTTTGTTAAACCATCCCTGCATCCCTGGTATGAGATCCACCTGATCATGGTTGATTATCTTTTTGATATGATGTTGAATTCAGTTCACCAATATTTCTTTAAGAATTTTTGCATCTATGTTCATCAGGGATATGTCTATAGTTTCAGTTCTTTGAATGTCTGATAGAATTCAGCTGTGAATCTGTCTGGTCCTGGACTTTTTTCTTTTGGAAATTTTTTTATTAGCATTTCAATCTCGCTGCTTGTTATTCACCTGTTCACAGATTCCATATCTTTCCAGTTTAATCTAGGAAGGTTGTATATTTCCAAGAGTTTATCCATCTCTGCTAGGCTTTCTAATTTATGTGTGTAAAGATGTTCACAGTAGACTTGAATAATCTTTTGTATTTCTGTGTTATCAGTTGTAATATCTCCTGTTTTGTTTCTAACTGAGCTTATTTGGACCTTCTCTCTTCTTTTCTTGGTTAAACTCGCTAATGGTCTATCAATTTTATCTTTTCAAAGAATAGGCTTTTGGTTTATCTTTTGTATTTTCTGCTTGTTTCAATTTCATTTAGTTCTGCTCTGACCTTTGTTATTTCTTTTTTCTGCTGTGTTTGGGTTTGGATTGTTCTTGTTTCTCCAGTTCTGTGTCGTGTAACCTTAGATTGTCTATTTGTGCTCTTTCAGACTTTTTGATGTAGGCATCTAATGCTATCAGCTTTTCTCTTTGCATTGCTTTTGCTGAGTCCCAGAGATTTTGATAGGTTATGTCACTATTATTGTTCAGTTCAAAGACATTTTTAATTTCCATCTTGATTTCATTTTTGACCCAATGATCACTCAGGAGCAAGTTATTTAATTTCAATGTATTTGCATGGTTTTGAGAGTTCTTTTTAAGAGTTGATTTCCAATTTTATTCCACTGTGGTCTGAGATAGCACTTGATATAATTTTGATTTTCTTATTTCCACTGAGACCTGTTTTGTGGCCTATTATATTGTCTATCTTGGGGAATGCTCCATGAGCTGATTAATAAAATGTATGTTCTGCAGTTGTTGGGTAGAATGTTCTGTACATATCTGTTAAGTCCATTTGTTGTAGTGTATAGTTTAAGTCCATTGTTTCTTTGTTGACTTTCTGTCTTGATGACCTGTGTAGTGCTGTCAGTGGAGTATTAAAGTCCCCCTCTATTACTGTGTTGCTATCTCATTTCTTAGGTCTAGTAGTAATTTTTTAAATAAGTTTGAGAGCTCCAGTGTTAGGTGCCTATATATTTACAATTGTGATATTTTCCTGTTGGACTAGTCCTTTTACCATTATATGCTGTCTCTGTTAGTCTTTTTTAATGCTATTACTTTAAAATTTGTTTTGTCTGATATAGTCTTTTTTCATGCTATTACTTTAAAGTTTGTTTTGTCTGATATAAGAATAGCTACTCCTGCTCACTTTTGGTGTCCATTTTCATGGAATATCTTTTTCCAACCCTTTATCTTAAGTTTACATGAGTCCTTATGTGTTAGGTGAATCTCCTGAAGACCTCAGAAACTTGGTTAGTGTATGTCTCATCCATTCTGCCATTCCATTTTTTTTTTGTTTTTGTTTTTGTTTTTGTGACGGAGTTTTGCTCTTGTTGCCCTGGTTGGTGTGCAATATCATGATCTCTGTTCACTGCAACCTCTGTCTCCTGCCTCAGTCTCCTGAATAGCTGAGAGTACAGGCACCTGCCACCATGCCTGGCTAATTTTTGTATTTTAGTAGAGATGGGGTTCACCATGTTGGTCAGGCTAGTCTTGAACTCCTGAACTCAGTTGATCTACCCACCTTAGACTCCCTAAGTGCCGGGATTACAGTTGTGAGCCACTGCACCCAGCCCATTCTGTATCTTTTAAGTGGAGCATTTAGAACACTTACATTCAATGTTATTATGGAGACATGAGATACTATTCTATTCATTGTGCTATCTGTTGCCTGAATATCTTGGGGTTTGGGGGGCGGGTTTCTTTGTTTTTGCATTGTGTTATTGTTACATAGGTCCTATGAGATTTATGCTTTAAGGATATTCTATTTTGATGTATTTTGAGAATATATTTCAAGATTTGGAGTTTCTTTTAGCAGTTCTTGTAGTGCTGGCTTGGTAGTGGTGAATTCCCTTAGCATTTGTCTTGAAAAGACTGTATCTGACCTTTATTTATGAAGCTTAGTTTTGCAGGGTACAAAATTCCTGGCTTATAATTGTTTTGTTTAAGGAGGCTAAAAATAAGACCCCAATCCTTCTAGGGATTCTTCTGAGAAATCTGCCATTAATCTAATAGGTTTTACCTGATGCTCTTGCCTCACAGCTCTTAATATTCTTTCCTTCATCTTGACTTAGATAACTTGATGACTATATGCCCAGGCAATGATCTTTTTGCAATGAATTTCCCAGGTGTTCTTTGAGTTCTTGTGTTTGGATGTCTAGATCTCTAGCAAACTGGGGAAGCTTCCCTTGGTTATTTTCTCAAATATGTTTTCCAAATTTTTAGATTTCTCTTCTTTCTCACAAACACCAATTAATCTTAGGTTTGGACATTTAGTATAGTCCCAAACTTCTTGGAGGCTTTGTTCATTTTCTAAATTCTTTTTTGTCTGTGACATATTAGGCAATTCAAAAGCCTTGTCTTGGAGCGCTGATGTTCTTTCTTCCGCTTGTTTGATTCTATTGCTCAGACTTTCCAGTGCACTTTGTATTTCTCTAATGTCCTTGATTTCCAAGAAGCTGTGATGGTTTTTTATTTATGCTATCCATTTCACTGAAGAATTTTCCTTTCATATCTTGCATTATGTTTTTAATTTATTTAAGTTGGACTTCCCCTTTCTCTGGTGCCTTCTTGAGTAGCTTAATAATCAACCTTCTCAATTCTTTTTCTGCCAATTCAGAGATTTTGTCTTGGTTTGGATTCATTGCTGGTGAGCTGCTATGATATTTTGGGGATGTCAAAGAGCCTTGCTTTGTCATATTACCAGAATTGTTTTTCTGGTTCCTTCTCATTTGGGTAGACTATGTCAGAAAAAAGATCTGGGATTCAGGAGCTGCTATTCAGTCTTTTGTTCCACGGAGTGCTACCTTGATGTGGTGTTCTCCCCTTTCCCCTAGGAATGGGGTTTCCTGAGAGCCAAACTGCAGTAATTGTTTTTGCTCTTCTGGTTCTAGCCCCCCAGCGGAGATACCAGGCTCTGGGCGGGTACTCGGGAGTATCTGCAAGAGTCCTATGATGTGATCCATCTTCAGGTCTTGCAGCGGTGAATACCAGCATCTGCTTTGGTGGAGTTAGCAGGAGAGTGAAGTGGACTCTGTGAAGGTCCTTGGTTGTGTTTTTGTTTAGTGTGCTGATTTTGTGTTGGTTGGCCTCTAGCCATGGGACAGTGCTTTCAAGAGTGCATCAGCTGTGATTCTATAGGGAGGATGAAAACTTGCCCTAGGGGCACCTGGTTAAGTATTCAGGATTCTCAGGTGGTAGGCAGGGCCATAGAGCTCCCAAGAGATTGTGACCTTTGTCTTTGGCTAACAGGGTGGATAAAGAAAGACCACCAGCTAGGGGCAGGGATAGGAGTGTTTGAGCTTAGCCTCTCCTTGGGCAGGGCTTGGTGCAGCTGCTGTGGGCAATGGGGGTGTGGTTCCCAGTCCAATGGAGTTGTATCCCAAGGGGATTATGAGTGCCTTTGTTGAGTCATATGGGTCACCAAGGAAGTGGGGGAAAGCTGGCAGTCACAGGCGTCACCCCTATTCCCATGCAGCCCACAGTCTGAAAGGCTGGTCTCACTCTCACTGTGCCCCTCCAAAAGCACCGAGTCTATTTCCAGGCAGCTGGTGACCAGGGCTGAGAACTTATCCCAGACCACAAGACTCCCCACTGAGAAAGCAAGCAGACATGGTTTTTTAGCATCTCAGAGAGGCTGCAGTGGTGATCCAGTTTCTTCAAAGAGTGTGTAGATTCTCTTGGCTTTCATGATATATTCCTGTGGTAGTCCGTGGAGCAAACATTCACGATGTGAGTCTCCACATCTTGCTCTGTCTGTCTGAGCAGAAGCTGCAAGCTAGTCCTAAGTCTTGTCTCTGGGAGATGTATCTTGATCAAGATAGAGGTTAATGGAGGTACAGATTTGTCAAAAATTAATAAAGCTGCACTCTTAAAATTTATGCATTTTGTTGTATACAAATTATACATCATTGATGTTTATAAAGTTAAAAATGAAGTAAGCACACAATTCATTATAGTAAGAATTATCAGAAAAAGAAAAATTAGAGGTACTAAAACTGGTTATCTTGCAAATTAAATTGGAGAAATATCAGGTTTTTCTGCATTTTTAAATTTTTATTTGTATTTTTTTAAGTTCCAGTGTACATGTGCAGAATGTGCAGGTTTGTTAAATAGGTAAATGTGTGTCATGGTGGTTTGCTGCAGCTATGAACCCATCACCTAGATATTAAGCCCAGCATGCATTAGCTGTTTTTCCTTATGATGTCCCTCTTTCTGCCCCCACAATAAGCCCCAGTGTGTGTTGTTCCCCTCCCTATGTTCGTGTGTTCTCATCATTCAGCTTCATCTTCTAAGTAAGAACATGTGGAGTTTGTTTTGCTGTTCCTGCATTAGTTTGAAGATAATGGCTTCCAGCTCCATTCATGTCTCTGCAAAGAATATGATCTCATTCCTTTTCATGGCCGCATAGTATTCCATAATGTATGTGTGCCACTACCACATTTTCTCTATCCAGCCTATCATTGATGGACATTTTGGTTGATTCCATGTCTTTGCTATTGTGAATAGTGCTGCAATGAACATACACGTGCATGTATCTTTATAACAGAATGATTTCTGTTTCCTCGTGTATATATCCAGTAATAAGATTGTGGGGTCAGGTGGTATTTCTGGTTCTAGATCTTTGAGGAATAGCCACACTGTCTTCCACAATGGTTGGACTGATTTACATTCCCACCAACAGTGTAAAAGCATTCCTATTTCTCTGCCACCTCTTCAGCACCTATAGTTTCTTGACTTTTTAATAATCGCCATTCTGATTGTCATGAGATGGTATCTCATTGTGGTTTTCATTTCCATTTCTCTAATGATCAGTGATATTGAGCTTTCTTTCATATGTTTGTTGGCCACATAAATGTTTTCTTCTAAGAAATGGCTGTTCATGTCCTTTGCCAAGTTTTTAATAGGACTGTTTTTACTTTCTTGTAAATTTAAGTTTCTTGCAGACTCTGGATATTAGACCTTTGTCAGGTGGATAGATTGCAAACACTTTCTCACATCCTATAGGTTGTCTGTTCACTCTGCTGGTAATTTCTTTTGCTGTGCAGAGGCTCCTTAGTTTAATTAGATCCAATTTGTCAATTTTTGCTTTTGTTGCAATTGCTTTTGGCGTCTTCATCATGAAATCTTTGCCTGTGCCTATGTTCCAAATAGTATTGCCTAGATTCTCTTCTAGGATTCTTCCACTTTTTAGTATTATATTTAAGGCTTTAATCCATCTTAATTTTTGTATAAGATGTAATAAAGGGGTCCAGTTTTAATTGCCTGCATATGGATAGCCAGTTCTCCCAGCACCATTTATTGCATAGAAAATCCTTTCCCCATTGTTTGTGTTTGTCAGGTTTGTCAAAGACCAGATGGTTGATGTTCAGTCTTATTTCTGACTTCTCTATTTTGTTCTATTGGTCTGTGTGTCTGTTTTTGTACCAGTCCATGCTGTTTTGGTTACTTCTAGTATAGTTTGAATTTAGGTAGCTTGATGCCTACTGCTTTGCTCTTTTTGCTTAGGACTGCCTTGTCTACATGTGCCTTTTGTTGTTGTTGTTCCATATGAATTTTTAAAAGGTTCTTTTTTACTTCTGTTAATTATATCAATGGTAGTTTAATGGGAATCTATAAATTACTTTGGGCAGTATGGCCATTTTTACAATATTGATTTTTCCTATCCATGAGCATGGAATATTTTTCCATTTGTTTGTGTCCTCTCTGATTTCCTTGAGTAATGGTTTATTGTTTTCCTTGAAGAGGTCCTTCGTTTCCCTTGTTAGCTGTATGCGTAGGTATTTTATTCTCTTTGTAGCAATTGTGAATAGGAATACATTTGTGATTTGGTGTAAAAGAATGCTTGTGATTTTTGTGCATTGGTTTTGTATCTTGAGATGCCGCTGAAGTGGCTTATCAGCTTAAGAAGATTTTGGGCTGAGATGATGTGGTTTTCTAGATATAAGATCATGTCATCTGCAAATAAAGACGATTTGACTTCCTCTCTTCCTATTTGAGTACCCTTTATTTCTTTCTCTCACCTGCTTGCCCTGGCCAGAACTTCTAATACTATGTTGAATAGGAGTGATGAGAAAGTGCATCCTTGTCTTGTGTTGGTTTTCAAGAGGAATACTTCCAGTTTTTGCCCATTCAGTATGATATTGTCTGTGGGTTTGTCATAACTAGCTCTTAATATTTCGAGGTATGTTCCTTCAAAACTTAGTTTATTGAGAGTTTTTAACATGAAGGTATGCTGAATTATGTTGAAGGCCTTTTCTGCATCTATTCAATTAATCATGCGGTTTTTGTCTTTAGTTCTCTTTATGAGATGAATTACATTTATTGATTTGCATGTGTTGAACCAACCTTGCATCCTGAGGTTGAAGCCAACTTCATTGCAGTGGATAAGATTTTTGATGTGCTACTGGATTCAGTTTGCCAGTATTATACTGAGGATTTTGGATGTTCATCAGGAACATTGTCCTGAAGTTTTTCATTTTTTGTTGTATTGATGCCAGGCTTTAGTATCAGAATGATTCTGGCTTCATAAAATGATTTAGGGAGGAGTCCCTCCTTCTCAATTGTTTGGAATAATTTCAGAGAAAATGGTACCAACTCTACTTTGTACCTCTGGTAGAATTTAGCTGTAAATCAGTCTGCAGTCTGGTTCTGGGTTTTTTTTGTTTGGTATGTGTGTGTGTGTGTGTGTGTGTGTGTGTGTGTGTGTGTGTGGTTGGTAGGTTATTACTGAGAATTGACTAATATCTTGGTTGATGAGGCAATGTTACATGTCATGCTTTCATCTCTGGGCTGTCCTTTATACAGGACCCTAAAGTCCTTGCTACTTAGGAGCTCTCCAATGCCTTTAAACAATGGTTCTTAAATCCACTTTTCTAGCATTGTTGGTGGGAGGGTTGTTCTGATACAAGCTAGTCTGGCAAAGCCCAAACAACTCATTTCTGCACAAAAAGTCAACCTCAAGTCTTACCTACTCTGAAAGACTTCTCTGTTTACCCTGGTGCCCATAGCTCTCTCCAATCTGTGAACTTTAATGGCAATTTTAGTTCTACTTCATGTGTTTTAGTATACAGTTCCTTTCTTTTTAAATTTTCCTCATTCGCTTATTTGGTCACAGAATTATATTGAATTATATTATATATGTAGAATTATGTTACTAAAATAATATGCAATATAATATATCTATATATGTAGGAAGTAAATGATGTCTATTATCATTGTAATTATATAATCTATAGAAGTATAAGTTGATATCCCAGCACACTTCTAAACACTCCAAGAACCCAGAATCTAGCACTTATATTGCCTTATATTCATTGGTGGAAAACTTGGAGAGCCAAAAGAAATATAGAAGTAGACTCACTTGTTACCCCTACTTACCTGAAAGACAGAAATCATTCAATATAATCAGTGTCCAACATACTGCCTGTCTGTAGTACCTATTCAGTCAATAATAGTTTCCCATTTGTTCCCTTTCTTAAGAGAGAAAACATCTCTCTCACTCTCTCTACTTCTCTTACACATAGAAGCAAAAATTATAGGATCTATGATTATTTTCACTACATAGCATACACCCATCAAGTGCAATGGAAGAGTGAAGAATGTTGAATATTCTCCAACAGCTCTCCTGCCTGGAGAATGTGCAATTAGTGTATCCTTTCCAATTCAGTTTAGGGAATCATTCAATTTTAAGCAAATAACGGGAGGCAACTTAGCCTCATGGCTAAAAACATAGTATTTGTGTGCCTGGTTTATTTTAGTTAGCATAATACCCCCTAGGTTTATTCATGTTGTTGCAAATAACAGAATTCCTTTCTTTTTTTAAAGCTGAATAGTATTCTAATGCGTATATATAATACATTTTTAAATACATTCATCAACCGATGGACACTTAGGTTGATTCCATATATTGGCTACTGAAAATAATAATGCAATGAACATAACAGGGCATATGTCTTTTCAGCATACTGATTTCAATTTTTTAATATATATATTTAAATATATAATATATATTAAAATATATAATTATTAATAATATATATTACATATATAATAAGTATAATTATTAAATAATATTAAATTATGTATATATCTAGAAGTAGGATAGCTAGGTCTATGTGGCAATACTATTTGTAGTCAATTAAAAATAAAATTTTAAAAATAAAAATTAGGCCGGGCACGGTGGCTCAAGCCTGTAATCCCAGCACTGTGGGAGGCCGAGGTGGGTGGATCACGAGGTCAAGAGATCGAGACCATCCTGGTCAACATGGTGAAACCCCGTCTCTACTAAAAATACAAAAAATTAGCTGGGCATGGTGGCGTGTGCCTGTAATCCCAGCGACTCAGGAGGCTGGGGCAGGAGAATTGCCTGAACCCAGGAGGCGGAGGTTGCGGTGAGCCGATATCGCGCCATTGCACTCCAGCCTGGGTAACAAGAGCGAAACTCCGTCTCAAAAAAAAAAAAAAAAAAATTAAACATTAAAAAAGTCAGAGTCTTTGAAGCAGACCCAGTGGCCTTCACATTCCAGATCCACAAATTACTGATTAGGTTGCTTTGGGAAAGTCGCTTCATATCTCTAACCCTCCATTTCCTCACACATAAAGTAAAGTGTAACTAACTTATTGGGTTGTTGGGAGGATGGAGGAGATAAGTTATGTGAAATGCTTAGACTAGGGTGTATATTATGTGCATTCAATATCAGAGTAGTTTATATGTTTATTTCCTACTGCCTTTCAATGGGCATGCTCTCTGTATAACATTATATTCTACAGATGTTTAATTTTATGTTTTTATTCAAGAGCACCTGGATAGGGAACAACACACTGAAGAACTTGCTACGGATTGCGTGTCCTGACTTTACCAAAACTCACCAGAACATGCAAATAGAGTCACATTAAAGACGAACTGCCTGGTTTCTCTGGTTCTTTCTTCCACCTGCTTACACAACTGCATCCTTCTGCATCCTCTTCTTCAGAGAGCAATTCAATCCCCTGGAGACAGTTGCTTTACACAGAACTCCATAGACTCAGTTTCTCTCATAGAACAAAACTGGTGGCTGGTTTAGGAAGAAATACCTACACACACACAAGACTTAACTAAAGCTATCCAAGAGAAATGGAAGTAGCAAGGAGAAAGTTGATGCATAAGCAAAGGGCAAGGAAGAAAACGAATATGTATCAAGTGCCTCCTCTATCCTAGTCCTCCCTCCTCAGAGAGTACCTAGAAAGAAACTTCAAATCTAGTCAAACCAACAAACAAATAACCCTGCTGTACACAATCCCTGAAGAGCCTGTCAGAAATTCATCAGCCATTAGTCCAATCTGGTTTAAGGTTCATCTGGCTCCAGTACATCACATAATATCTTCCTTTCTCTCTGACCAAACATAATTGCTTTCTTCAGGCTTCACCTAGCACCAAGCTATCAAGTTCCCTTTGCTTACGTGGAAAAAAAGAAAAGGGGCTAATCAGGATGGTTTTCATGGAAATCTCTACCTGCCTCTGAGGCAGGAAACAGAATTGAAATAGCTAGGCAGAGTGCTGTCCCTGCCATTGCCCGGGGTTACCATACTACTCAAGAGACAAAGGTGAGCTAGAGCCCTTTTCTTTCCCATAACACTGAAAGATCAGTCCTCAACTATAGAATGAGACATTACAAATAAAAATGGTTCAACTTCAGTACAAAGAGGAGAAAAATCAAGCAGATAATATCAGCAATTCTGCTATAATATGCCCCAAGATGCAGACCTTCACCACCCCATGGAGATAGATTCTTAGACTCTCCCAAGGGAACTGATGAACAGTAGGTTCTTCCAGAACCTGGATCAGATGCAGGACATGACATTGCCTTCTCACCAGAATCAGACTTACAAGTTGGGGACAATCTGGAGAGAGTGTTTGGTGAGATCTCTTATGTAGTCAGGGAGCCTGACAAAAAATAAATAAATAAAATCACTATTTTCCTATTTTTTTTGGCTGAGTTTTCTTTTATTTTATTCTCTTTGTGAGCCTGCCCCCCAGGATTCCAATAGAAAAACGTTTTAGAACAAACTACTTTAGAAACATTTTCATACTTTAGGGCATTGTTGTATGCCAAGATAAAACATGAGAAATACATTTCTTTTTTACAAAAGTCTTAAAATGTACTTTATAAATAAAACTTTTCTCCATATTTTTCTTTATTATTTTCCATTCATGAAATTTAAACCTTTCAGCAAGGCTGACACTTGCTAAGGAGGTAAACATTCTGCCATAGCTTTTCTGTGTCTTACAAATTGGTTCAGTAGTTCTTCCAGTAGCAAAGGCATTAGAAAACACTTATTAACCAGAGATTGGAGGCTGCCTAAGGCCACCTAAATTTCTCTGTCTGTATCAGCAGCATCATGGAATAGTCATATTTGGACTTATCCTGTGAAGGCACATTTGTCAGCTGCAACAGTCCATTGAGGTCTCCAGAAAGGCACTCAGTAATCCCAGTGCATATGACTTTATATCCAGTGCAGCCAAAGTCCAGATTATATGGTTAGTTTTATGACACTGTATCAAATAATACAATGTAATTTTTAGTAACTGTATCAGATACTTTGGCATAAGGAAGTATATGTGTATACATGTTTAACATATGATAGTATATTGCACACACAATACTCAGAATGGATAAATTTAAACTGCATCTATATAAACCTATACACATACACGCTGCATACATTTGCTTATATATGCATAGACTATCTCTGTAAGGACACACGAGGAACATGGAAAATATGAGATGTATGAGAAATAGCAGAAGCGCCTTTCTCACCAGCAATGAGTGGAGCATGATGAGTGTCCTAGAAAAGTTCACAGACAAGTAGAGGATTGAGAGGCTCAAAAGTAGAAAATAAAATGCAATATTATTGGTGGTATAACAGGCATAAATGCAGGGTGATGTGTTCTTATTTGAGTAGCTAACTTCACCACTATGCCTATCTGCTGTAAAATAAATTCCTATTTCTATGCTGTAGGTAAAGTGGTTTTTGACAAAAAATTTCACTCATTGGCAAGGAATAAAACACTGATAACCCCCACAGTGGCATGAAGCGCTGCAGATGGTTTCAGGAGCCTAAATCTGAGAACACTTAAGAGGGCCTCAATTTGTAATCAGAAGAGCCAAAGTTTGAATTCGAATTCAGCTACTTTCTTGATGGGCAAATTGCCTG